GTAGCACAATGATGGTGATATACTTTGTCTGCAAGCTGTTTACAGTAGCACAGTGATGGTGATATACTTTGTCTGCAAGCTGTTTACAATAGCACAATAATGGTGATATACTTTGTCTGCAAGCTGTTTACAGTAGCACAGTGATGGTGATATACTTTGTCTGCAAGCTGTTTACAGTAACACAATCATGGTGATACACTTTGCAAGCTGTTTACAATAGCACAATAAAGGTGATATACTTTGTCTGCAAGCTGTTCCACGTCAACACAAGTCTATTAAAATATGAGAACTTTACTTTGTAGGGACTGAAATCTTACAAATACTGCTAGGCAAACATAACAGAAAATTGTCAACGGAAACCAAATTGAGATGTTTTGAGGCATTTAGTGCCTTTATTTCATTGTTATCATCATCTAGTACCTGGTACATACAGCTTTGAGTAGAAATCATTCATCAACATATACATAGATACATTCTTTAATTTCTTTTACAATTATGATGTATTTTAAAGAATTAAACAAAATCCTGTTAGAAAACCATAAAACTAGTCATGTGGTTTTCAGGCTGACTCAATGCTTGATTTATCTCAGATCTTTTGGAACACATTCCAGGCCAGTTTATCAAACAACTGGTTATAAACATGCAGTACTGCAGCCAATGGGGCATGGCCCTGAACCATCTCACATAAATTTGCATCTTTTAGCATCTTCTGTGGCTTCCACCTTGTCATTCATCTCCGTCTCTTTCTTCTCTAAGTGTTTCTGTAGTGACTGATACTGTGCTTCCTACAGTCAAGTATGTACAAACTGTTCCAGCTGGGTAAGTGTACTGTAACAAACAGGTTTGTTGCATCTTTCTGCCTAACCATTTGTCCATCCCATCAGTTTTAGTCTACAATTAAGATGGTCTGCAGCTTTGTTCAGGTGCATAATTCTGATGATGTTTTCTCACACGCTCCACCCTGCCTCGATCTCTCCCTTGCTTTCACCACACGTTCCACCCTGCCTCGATCTCTCCCTTGCTTTCACCACACGTTCCACCCTGCCTCGATCTCTCCCTTTCTTTCACCATTCATCCATCAGATTTCAAGAGATGAGAGTCTTGAGGTATGTGAAACTCATCTGCAGATAAACTGGTCACAGGTGTGTGATGCTGATTACCCCAATCACCTAGCAATTAGCACAAACAAGACAAGCACACAATAATGAAATTGTTATCATCAACAGAAAACACAGGTGGCTATTTTCTTTTTACAACAACAACAACAAAATCACTACATATTGGAGAGGTGTCTGCTGGCCTCAAGTGAAGACTAAGTGTGAAATAAATCAAGGTGGCACAGCTGGTGAAACTTTTCAATCAGCAACAATAAACAGGGCCATCTTAGCGGCATTATAGGCCCCCGGGCAAACCAATGTGCTGGGGCCTCCAGGCAAACCAATGTGCTGAGGCCCTAGGAAAACCACTCACAGAAAGTAGATATTAATGGTCGATAATATTAAAAATATACTTATTGTACTGACACTACTACAAAATTATTGTTAAAGCATAAACACCGATTTGATGGCACAGTATAAAATTACTAGGAACTTCTGATATGGCGTCATTTAACATTCACAGATTAGATTGGGGCCCCTAGGTATCTCCCCTCCCCCCCATTCAATAAGCAGAGGTACCAGAAGGGTGTGGTTGTACTGTTTGGACAAGAGAGAATTGACACCACAGAGGAACTTATTTTGTAAGAGAACATTTTGATCAGCCACTAAAAAATATAATCGGTCAACTAAAATATTTTTCTTTTACCTGTTGTCACAAATTACAGAGGAGGCGATTTGCCATTTTTGCGATGTAGGCAGTGGGGTCTTTCAGTCTGAAGTTTTAGGGTCACATGGCTGGTCCAGTGCCACGGACTGCGCAGGTACGGATTTTATTTTTGCCCTTGACAGAAAAGCCCCCAAACTTAGAGGATTCGAACTCGATCAGCTATGAACAAGTTCAATTGAAACTATGCACCTGTAAAAACATCTAGCAGGTCACAAGCAAGGTTCATGGATACAACATCTTCTCTGAGAACCTGAACTCTATACAATTACAGAACATTCTTTAGAAAAGTAAACTCTAGAACTATATAGCACTGGGAAACTAAACTCTACATATGTTCTCTGGGAAAGAAACATATAGATAGTCTTGGTTGACTCCATTCAAAAACAAATGTATCTCCTACATGTTGTAAGAATGTGGGAGGCGAGACCCATGAGTGTACACATATTAAGGTGTTCCCTAACAATGGCAGATTTTCTCACACATCACTTACTAACTTTGACTGCTGGTGCGGAGAGAAGTGACCTATACCACACATGCAACTTCACACACCAACAGTCTGCCCGCAAACAAACAAGGAGGCAAGGCGAACAAACAATTGTTTATTACAATACAAGCAACTAATCAAGATGAATAATAGAAACAGTTTATAAATATTGCTATTCACAGCTATTTACTACAGAAAAAAACCATACAGTATATTTACTCCTGTTTAAAAGGCAAGAAACTTGATGTCACAGGCTCAGTGGGCTGACAACAGTGAACATGCTACAGTTCCATGTTACAGCAGCTCAATGTCAATTGGCCTCCAAAACCCTAGCCAACAATAAATGTATCACAGATGACAGAAATGATGGCTGGTTGTGCTGCAAGCAAAGGGATAGATGATACTATGTCTGCCAATGAAACATTACACTTGGTCAGTTTTGGACTGTCACTGACATAATGGCTCTGCTGTGTCAATGAACCTATTTGCTGATTACTTGAATGATCAGTGGCTCTATCAACAAGTCTGGTTCTACCAGTCAACACCAAGTGTGAACCTCAACTAACCGTATTGTCGAGGTTTCATGTAGGCACATGGCAGGTTTTTGTGTCGATACCACATCAGGAATCTATCTAATGTTCAATTCAAAGATCCATATTCAATTTGCAGACTGATTCGGTAACACTGTTCAAGTGGAAGTTGATTCCACTTCTATCCCTGAATGTAGATAACGCTCACAAGACAGCTCTACCAAGAGACTTGTTGACTCTGAAAACTCACCAGTCAAGTGGTATTGCTGTAGGATGACAGGATCACACACAAGCTACATGTATGCAATTGTCAGTCTCCTTTTACAATGACATTTCCAGACATGTTTCAAGATTGGTTTATCATTTTGTCTTTTCAATCTCAGTCTCTGTGTGCCCAACTTAGGCAAGTAGTTCATATGGTGATTTTTGAATCATCTGGGTAAAGGTTACATCCCAGCATTCAGGACAAGCCCGTATTAGCATCTCCCTCCTCAAGAGACAGCGAAGAGTTTCCATACTGATAGTGGCCATTGTTATCTGGTTAACTACTCGTCTTGCCTTCCCTCTGAGTCTCGAGTGGGTCCAGAACCAACAGCCACTCCCTAAAGTATCATTCACACCTTGTAGGATCTTTCACCTGTTACCTCATCCCACATGTCAGAGATCACCTCTGCCTTGTGCAGTTGCAGTACACCACAGAGTGAGGCCAGTCTAGCCAGCCTATCTGCATGCTTGTTCCCAAACACACCTGAATACCCGGGTAAAATATCCATGTGACTCTCATCATCTTCGACCACTCATGAATTTTATATCAACATCTGTGTGCCCAAACTTGGTAAGGTACTCTACACATCTGAATCTGTGTGCCCAAACTTGGTAAGGTACTCTACACATCTGAATCTGCGTGCCCAAACTTGGTAAGGTACTCTACACATGTGAATCTGTGTGCCCAAACTTGGTGAGGTACTCTACACATGTGAATCTGTGTGCCCAAACTTGGTAAGGTACTCTACACATGTGAATCTGTGTGCCCAAACTTGGTAAGGTACTCTACACATGTGAATCTGTGTGCCCAAACTTGGTAAGGTACTCTACACATCTGAATCTGTGTGCCCAAACTTGGTAAGGTACTCTACACATCTGAATCTGCGTGCCCAAACTTGGTAAGGTACTCTACACATGTGAATCTGTGTGCCCAAACTTGGTGAGGTACTCTACACATCTGAATCTGTGTGCCCAAACTTGGGAAGGTACTCTACACATCTGAATCTGTGTGCCCAAACTTGGTGAGTTACTCTACACATGTGAATCTGTATGCCCAAACTTGGTGAGGTACTCTACACTTGTGAATCTGTGTGCCCAAACTTGGTAAGGTATTCTACACATGTGAATCTGCATGCCCAAACTTGGGGAGGTATTCTACACATGTGAATCTGCATGCCCAAACTTGGGGAGGTATTCTATACATGTGAATCTGCATGCCCAAAATTGGGGAGGTATTCTACACATGAGAATCTGCATGCCCAAATCTGAGAAGATACTCTACACATGTGAATCTGTGTGCCCAAATTTGGGAAGATACTCTATGCATGTGAATCTGTGTGCCCAACTTTTGAAAGATACTCTACACATGTGAATCTGTGTGCCCAACTTTTGAAAGATACTCTACACATGTGAATCTGTGTGCTTATATTTGAGAAGGTAGTCTAGGCATGTGATTGACTAACTGATGAAATCACCACAAGTCAGTACACTTAACACCAGTGAGTACACAAATACCATCGATGAAAGTAAGTATTCCACACGGTAACAGGTTGGTGTTGTAATCTGCACTAGACTTAGTTTCTTTGCACATCTCTAACAATCCACATCCTCTCTATCGAGAGCATCTATAATACCGATAACAATCATGTGGCATGAGTAATATAAACATATTCAAGTAAAAATAATATTGTAATCCCACAAATGTACAATTTCAGGTACTGAACCACACACAATCAATGATGTGCTGTACATGATAATTTGTCACCAACAAAATGTGCACCCCAGAGAATAACAGATACATCAATCCACATTCATGACACCCATCAATTAGACACTTTCTTCCCAAGTCGTATTCTAAAAAATGAAAGTTGGATGCTGGCCAGGAAAGACACCTGCAGTTAATCAATCTTTATGGCTCCGTAGATTCGGCGGATGAACCAGTATGCAGCAAAGAAGCCAATGGTGCCAGTTAAGATCCAGAAGGTGAAAACTATCAATATTGTGTAGCCAAAATACAGCAGTGTGGGAATGAACTCAGTGATTTCCAGCTGCAAATAAAAACAAAAGATCAGTCACTAGTTTCAGAAGCTCTTGCAACGAAAACAAACAACAAGTCAGGAGTTAGAGAAACTCTTGCTACGACAAAAAATAACAAGTCACGAGTTAGAGAAACACTTGCTATGACAACAAATAACAAGTCACAAGTTAGAGAAACACTTGCTATGACAACAAATAACAAGTCACAAGTTAGAAAAACAGCTACGACAAAAAATAACAAGTCACGAGTTAGAGAAACACTTGCTATGACAACAAATAACAAGTCACGAGTTAGAGAAACACTTGCTATGACAACAAATAACAAGTCACGAGTTAGAGAAACACTTGCTATGACAACAAATAACAAGTCACGAGTTAGAGAAACACTTGCTATGACAACAAATAACAAGTCACAAGTTAGAAAAACTCTTGCTACGACAAAAAATAACAAGTCACAAGTTAGAAAAACACTTGATATGACAAAAAATAACAAGTCACGAGTTAGAGAAACACTTGCTATGACAACAAATAACAAGTCACAAGTTAGAGAAACACTTGCTATGACAACAAATAACAAGTCACAAGTTAGAAAAACAGCTACGACAAAAAATAACAAGTCACGAGTTAGAGAAACACTTGCTATGACAACAAATAACAAGTCACAAGTTAGAAAAACTCTTGCTACGACAAAAAATAACAAGTCACGAGTTAGAGAAACTCTTGCTATGAAAACAAGTAGCGAGCCATTAATTAGAGAAACTATTACTACAACAACAAATAACAAGTCACGAATTAGAGAAACTCTTGCTATCTTTAGAGAAGATAGTCGCAGTCAAGTTGCAAGAATTTCTGGAAAGGGGAGGCTTCTTCCAAGAGGTCTGGGGAGCTACAGGCCAGGTAAAGACACCTGGTCAAATGCAGCCACTTTTGCCTTTGACGTCTATGAAGGGTTCCAGAACAGACAGGAAACGATGGCGGCAGAACTGGATCTCGAGAATACGTACAACAGAGTAAGATACAGCATTTTGATGACCGTACTAAGGGAGAAGGGGGTCAGTCCTTGTTGGTGAATCGCATTGTGAGTGTCCTGTATACTCGTTGGGTTGCTCTCCGTCTGGGTTCATGGACATCAGAACCACACATTATAGCCCCGGGACTGCCACAGAGTTCCGCCATCTCACTTGCGCTCTTTAATGTGTACACAAACAAAACTGCAAGTCTAGAAGCACCAGGAGTTGAAAGGATACTGACTTCTGCAGATGATATTCTCACATATAGGCAGGGGAGTGAGAGGGAACAAACGGCCCAGGAGCTGCAGGCAACAGTTGACAAAGTGACTGACTGTGTACAGAAATGAGTGCTAATTTTAAGGCCCATTCTGAGACCAAAAAGTGAAACTTATAAACTGATAATTAGGGTTACCAATTCTCTGTGTCAGTTTATTTATTTCATTATGCTTTTTATCTGCCTGCCATGTTCTCATCATTCTTTCATAAAACCCTATTTCTTTTGATTCCATATAATTTCTCATTGGTGTACTGTCCGATGATTTATTTCCTTCCTTCTTAGCATTTGCTGAATGTAAACACAAGCGAAAAGTTCTGATTGTTACTCCACTTCTAGACTCTGGCCTTGTTAAAAAACTTGAGTTACAGGGCAGTGGACCTGATCTGATTGTTGCTCCACTTCTAGACTCTGGCCTTGTTCCAGAACTTGAGTAACAGGGCAGTGGACCTATTCTTGTTCTCCCTACAATGGGGTCCTGGAACCTAAGTGAGGAGCCATGATTCACATCCATACATCAAGATTAACTGTGGTAACCACAACAGGATGAATGCACACTGGAATGAAATGAGTGCGCTCTGTAATGATAAAGTACACCATTGACACAATGGTAGACTGTGACTTACCTTGGTAATGAAGTAGAAGATAGAATAAGCAAACACATACAAGGCTGAGCCACCAGACACAACGAATGTTCTCCACCACCAGTGATAGTCCTGAGGAACAGTTGAACAAATGAGACATGGTGTAGCAGTTACAACTGGACATCAGTAATTTTATCATCATCAGCAATACCATCATCAGCAATATCATCATCAGCAATACTGAAGGAGTGTAAAAGATATTTTGATGACAATGACTTAGTTGTACATGTATTAAGCCGTTTATGTAAGGGTATCTTCAGTCTGGTATCTAGGGAAGACATAGAAGACATAAAGCATACACTAGAAAGAGGCAGACAAAAACAATTCATGATGATGCGTCTGTTTCATCTGCTAGGCTTCTCTGATGTTGCTGTACACCCACTGTATGAGTAACTCCATCTAGATGAGCTCCATTAGCTCTATATTGTATTGAATGAACTCACTTGGCCTCAGATAGCTGCTCGCAACTGGCTTCTCTGTGTGGTTATGTCCATGTGCAAACTGCCAGCATTTACCACTTCTGTGTGTGTGTGGGGGGGGGGGGGGGTGGGGGGGGGGGGTAACTGAGCCTGAGGATTAGGGGCTGCATGGCTAGTGCTGTCACCAGGGACTGAGCCTGTGGATCTAGGGTTGCATGGCTAGTGCTGTCACCAGGAACTGAGCCTGGGGATTAGGGGCCGCATGGCTAGTGCTGTCACCAGGGACTGAGCCTGAGGATTAGGGGCTGCATGGCTAGTGCTGTCACCAGGGACTGAGCCTGTGGATCTAGGGTTGCATGGCTAGTGCTGTCACCAGAAACTGAGCATGGGGATTAGGGGCCGTATGGCTAGTGCTGTCACCAGGGACTGAGCCTGAGGATCTAGGGCTGCATGGCTAGTGCTGTCACCAGGGACTGAGCCTGAGGATCTAGGGTCACATGGCTAGTGCTGTCACCAGGGACTGAGCCTGGGGATCTAGGGCCGCATGGCTAGTGCTGTCACCAGGGACTGAGCCTGGGGATTTAGGGCCGCGTGGCTAGTGCTGTCACCAGGGACTGAGGATTTAGGGCCGCATGGCTAGTGCTGTCACCAGGGACTGAGGATTTAGGGCCGCATGGCTAGTGCTGTCACCAGGGACTGAGGATTTAGGGCCGCATGGCTAGTGCTGTCACCAGGGACTGAGGATCTAGGGCCGCATGGCTAGTGCTGTCACCAGGGACTGAGTATCTAGGGCCGCATGGCTAGTGCTGTCACCAGGGACTGAGAATCTAGGGCCACATGGCTAGTGCTGTCACCAGGGACTGAGCCTGGGGATTTAGGGCCGCATGGCTAGTGCTGTCACCAGGGACTGAGGAATTAGGGCCGCATGGCTAGTGCTGTCACCAGGGACTGAGGATTTAGGGCCGCATGGCTAGTGCTGTCACCAGGGACTGAGCCTGAGGATTTAGGGCCGCATGGCTAGTGCTGTCACCAGGGACTGAGGATTTAGAACCGCATGGCTAGTGCTGTCACCAGGGACTGAGCCTGGGGATTTAGGGCCGCATGGCTAGTGCTGTCACCAGGGACTGAGGATTTAGGGCCGCATGGCTAGTGCTGTCACCAGGGACTGAGCCTGGGGATTTAGAACCGCATGGCTAGTGCTGTCACCAGGGACTGAGCCTGGGGATTTAGGGCCGCATGGCTAGTGCTGTCATCAGGGACTGAGCCTGAGGATCTAGGGCCGCATGGCTAGTGCTGTCACCAGGGACTGAGCCTGAGGATTTAGGGGGCCGCATAGCTAGTGCTGTCACCAGGGACTGCAAGTTAACATTTTTATGTTCACCCTCAACAGAAAAAGATTCATGACCTTACCAAAGATTCAAACCTTGGTCTCCCATATGACAGCCCAGTGTTCTTAACCATTTGGCCAACCATTCCTCAGTTACTTTCATAATCACCTATTATTGATTTCCAATAGTAACTTCAAAACTTCTTTGTTTCTTTTTTTTTTTTAATCAGGAACAATTAATCCTTTACACTGCATTTTCCTCCAAAAAAAAGTTCCCCCTCTTTTGCAATTATACTTATTAATACTTTCATACAACTGCTGGAAACACTGCAGGAACAAATTCTTTGAAGTGTCCCTGAGCTAAATGATTGCACTACTGACAACAACGTGCTAAACATCTATGCATTCTTGTCCCCGTAGTGCTGACTTCAGCTCAAGAAGCCAGAAAATCAGGAGAAGAACTATTGTGTACTGTTTGTTTTAGTATCCAGAAGCCATGAGTTGTTAACCCTTAGGCTCGGTATTATGGATATCGCAACCTTTCGGCCTTGATTCCATTGTAAACACTGTAAATCTGGGAGAAATGTGGCTTTTCTGCCTATGCCTGGGAGTGAACCCGGACCACAAGGAGTTCGTCACCCGGTCACCGCGCAATCCGGTTTAGCCAACTACGCTAGAGAGCAGGGCAACTATTGTGTATAAGAGACAGTTGTAACAGTAACAAAACAAAAACAAAAAAAACATAATTTGTGTGTACACAACACTGTATACCAGAAAAATAGCATTGCTACATCCTTTAATTACCAGCATGGTGTTCGCCACAACCATAATAATTATACAACAGCTTCAATTAGCTATTACTGTCAACTTGACTATTCAATGAAATCTATGACTATATCTACAGTGTACTATTATAAATGGTTCATCAGTTTTAAACTTGTACACACACAAATGCTGGATTATATGCTAAATCATCCAGACAGTGACTCACCTCTCCACACAACTGGAAGTAGACCATGACGACAGCGATCTGTGACACGGATATCACCAAAATTATAAACACTAAGAACAGGAAGCCAAACAGGTAATAGTACTGGTTTTCCCATATGGCCTGAAGACAAGCAAAGACAACCATTAAACAAGAATATATACATAAATATGATACATGTATCATTCTTGTTTATTTTTATTCTTCTTTTTCTTAGCTTTTACCAGCCGTAAATTCCAGTGCAAAGTTCTGGTTGCTCATCCTCTCCTGAACTTGATCTTGACCAAGAACTTGAGTTTTGGGTGCACATTCGTTTTACAGACCTGGCTTATCTGCATGCAGGCTGTCGTTTCCTGGACCTTCAGACAGGCACATTCTGACTTGAAAGAAAATATCCCTAATTAGTCAACTCCTATGACATGCTTGTTGGTGAGGAAAAAGGGGTGTGGGGGGAGGCTATTATTTGTTCTCCAAAACGGAGCCCCTGAACCCAAGCTGGGATATTTGTATTGGCCGCCACTGACTCAGTGGCAGACTGTTAATTAACCTCTGCTGAAATCTTCTTCTTCTTCTTCGCGTTACCAGCTGTAAACTCCAGTGGAAAGTTCTGGTTGTTCGTCCACTTCTGGACTGCAGTCCTGTTCCAGAACCTGAGTGTTGCGTGTGCATCCATTTTACTGCTTTGACTTATTTTTATGCACACTGCTTGTTCCTTTCCTCTCAGGCAGATGCACTCCGACTTCAAAAGAAGCTCCCAATTAATCGACTCTTCCGACATGCTTTTGGGTAGGCAGAGGGTCTATTCTTGTTTTCCCTATAATAGGGACCCGGAACCCACATAGGGTTCTGCTGAAATCAATACCTTCACAACAATTCAGCCTATTTTTCCTTTTGTGACCAATCTGGCTTTTATATTTACTGCTGCTAACAGTTTGATGTTAAGTCAATGTTGTTTAGACAGTTGCTCAATAAGTTGGTGCTGAGTAAATTCTTACAATGGCATTATTATAAAATGTATGTTGTAAGGTCACCTTGGTCAACTTATTTGCACCAGGAGAGAAGGTTAAATAGCTTTCATGTGCAATGCCTAAAAAGAATACTTGGCATTAAGTGGCAGGACAAAATCACAAACACTTAGGTACTGGAAAGAACAGGTACTACAACAGTCTTTTCCATGCTCAGTCTACGAAGGCTCAGATGGCTCAGTCACACCTGGAGAATAGTAGAGTCCCTAAGGACATCCTTTAGGGTGAATCAGAGGCGGGTAGAAGATGTCGAGGCCAACCTCTACTACGGTATAAAGATGTGTGCAAGTGGGACATGAATGATACAGATACTGAGGTAGACTCATGGGAACAAAATGTCATTGACCCTGTTGTGTGGAAAGGGTATATCAGGAAGGGAATGAGAGTGAAGGAAGAATGAGAGCTGAGCGTCTGAGAAGAAACGGATTAAACACAAATGTTTACAATGGTCCTGAGATCCCAGCTATCATTATGAAAGACCTTTCTTAACATGGGCGGGTCTTGCTAGTCACACTCGCCCTAGCCATGGGCTGTGGGTCCCAGGCCTCTTCAAAGCACAATATAACAACATCGTCTGGAAAGACATAAATGTGCTAATCAATCAATCAATCATGTTGTAAGGATCAATCTTTCTCCTTATATTAACCATTCCTTTCCCTTTTCAGCAGTTTAGGTTCAACTGACTGGTGAATTATTCATCTGTTGTATACAGGCACCCTGACGACTGGGTCTCACCTCTAGCACATAAAACACCAGATGGGGCTACATCATTTTATTGGAAAAAAATAAATTCTTTGAACCCAATTCCTTCTTGATCCAAATCCCCTTCCACCCTTATCAAAATTACATTATACTGTTTCATACTGACTACTGAAGTTTTCTCAGTTGTAACAAGAAGATTCTACTTGTGTTTCCACAAGTCTGTCTCCTACTTCTCTACTCTGGCTGCTTTGCAATAGCACCCTATAAAGGTAATCCTATAGCAGATGGTAGGTGAACTGTTAGGGCTTTACACATTCTAGGCTACAGTATTTTTTTTTTTTTATCGATCACCGGCTGTGAATTCCAGTGGAAGGTCCAGGTTAATCGTCCGCTTGGACTTTTGGCTTTCACCTGGACCTGATTTTTGCGTGTACAACCGTTTTTCATTTCCCTGCCTCATGGGCAGCTGTACTCCGACTTCGAAGGAAGACATCAGGCCTATTTCTAGGTTGACTGTGGCCATTGTTTTGTGTGGGTCGAGACGTTGCCTGATTTGTGTGGTGTCCACTTTGTCTCCTTCGCCGCAGGTATTGCCCCCGGAGTACCCCTTTGGGGCAGCCTCCTGTGGAACAGTTAGCCCTCAAGGGAAGGCAGGGGCAGATCATGGGCATTCCCCGCCATCAAAGGAGGCTTCCATGCATGCAGAGCTGGCACATGGCGCTCTGGTTCTGGGCTCACCCAAGGAATCGTCACGTCCTGCACATGCCTGCTTAACCTCACAACCGTATCAGGCCTCCCGCTCGACAGGGGCTGCGCCCTCTGGAAGTCAGCGGGAAGCAGCCCGTGGGTTTTGGACTTTTGTGACCACACAGATAGGTACATTCTTTTTTCTTCGCACGTTAGATTTCTTTGACGAGCCGTTAGCCCGACAGAATTTTACATCCTGCATCAGGCATATCGTTATCAGTTTTGTCCCAACACTCGGGCGAGTGGGGTCTTTGGGTGTGGACATTCGGTCTTTTTCAGTTCAATACAAATTTTGATGGTCAGACTTTGATCCGTATGATCTAGTTTTGTCGGACATTTAGGCTTAGCCATCCGATGGATGGTTGCTGTTGTGGTGTACCTCAGCGTGGTGACGACGACACTGAGGGTTAACCGAGGATGTACAAGGATGGTCAGCCTATGGATGGTTGCTGTTGTGGTGTATCTCAGCGCGGTGACGACGACACTGAGGGTTAACCGAGGATGTGCAGTGAACAATGTTCTCTTTACTCCGCAGTCTTTTAACCAAGGGTTGTAATTTTGGCTGTACGTTTGGCAAACCTACTCATGTTCCTAATGAGTTTTGATAACATTTCTCACCCAAGCGTTTGGGGGCGGGCTGATGAGGGCCACAAGGACACATCACCTCTGGGGGCCGCCGAACTCCGAGATCCCCTGACAGCTCTGTTAATGCTCATTTGAGACATTATCCGTGGCACACGACGAGGACGTGCTGTAGGGGTCTTGCGTGAGGTTCCGTACAACCAGGATAGTGAAGGACTGGCGCCCGAGTGACGTACGGAGTATCTCCTTATACACATCATGTTGGACTTAACTTCCCCTCACACCTGTGACATAAATCACCGCGCCACTAGGCTACAGTATATCTTCATGAGTATTTGTCATAGTGACAAAACTGCGTTGTGACTGTTAACACAGCTGCAATATTTGTGTCTTTCGACAGACATATCTGACTTCATCTTGCATTTGTTCACGATTTAGCCTTCCCAGTTCGCTCTGTAGGACATGTCTTAGCCACGTCTGTGTGGTGTCCTCTGTCGCTTCATCTACAGGTGTTGCCCCTGGAGAATTCATTCAGCCCAACCATGTGAAGACTGGTCAGCCGTCAAGGAAAGACAGGGGCAGATCACAGGCATTCTCCACCATCCAAGGAGGCTTTCATTAATACAGAGCTGACACATGACTGTTTCACCTCACATTTGTAACTCAAGCTTTCCACTTATCACAGGCTGCACCCTTTGCATGACCACATAAATGGGCACAGTCTTCAACACCTTTAAACTTGTTGCATGGACATTACAGCAAAGCATACATCAAGCATGGCTTCCCCGTTTGGTCTTGATACTCCGATGAGCTGGTCAATAGTGGCGAAGGCTACAACATATCAACTGGGTGGCCAGCCCCCTTCCTTGTCCCCTGTGCTTTCTAGAAAGCTCTCAAAATCATCTGGTGCCCATTTCTGGGTGGTCAAGTCTACAGGCACAATGGTTGGAGAAATCCTACCTCTTATGACAGACTGTACAGACAAACAGCAAAGAATTCAAAGACCATTCACACAAACGAACTTACAGTGAAGATAAAAAACAGCTCAATGAACATGGCACCAAACGGCAAGATTCCAGCCATCAGTGTTCTGAAAAAGTAAGTGTCCTAATGTCATTATCCATTTGTTCAGTTTTGTTGTCTCATAAAGGTTGTGTTTTTATAGTGTCAATTGTGCTAGCATATTCTCATAGGCTGCAATATCTGCCTCTTTCGGCCAAACACAACTGCAGCAAAATCTTAGTCACCTTTTTACAACAAGCTTGTTGAAGGGCAGCAGATCTATTATCTTGTCCCCCCCCCCCCCCCCCCCCCAAATTCGGTTTCCTGGGGCCACATATGAAATCTGGAAGTCCTTCACGTAAAAACTGGCAGACATGGGAAGTTCCAAGTAGCTAAATGTGATCTGTGTGTGTACAGAGCTGGATAACTGATCACAGCTGTCCTTAAAATCTTCAAATCGTGAACATATCTGTCCTCCCACCCTCCTCTCCAGTCATGTATTAACTGTTCACCATTTCACCACACTAAATTTGGTAGATATTCTCAAGCTTGCTATGCAGTAAGTACTACCATCATCAAATGGAAACTCCAAAAGTAAAATGCTCTTCTGGCAAATAAACAAACAGTAACAAGCCATCAACAGAACTGCTTCCTTCCTGAGGTCACCAAGACGAGATGCTTATGGACCTTGGCCTGAACTTCTCACAATGGAAGTTGGGCACAGCAGGTAGAATGCAGGCACAGTGCTGGCCATAAGAACAAATGTTATAAATTCCCATGAGGTAGTGATTTTTGTGGAAATCTTCCTATGCTTCCAGCCTTACACAGAAGCCAGAAAATGCTCCGAGAAGTAAAGGTGGTCAGAATGATAATCAGCAGCGACTGGTCTATAAAATATAAGGCTGGCACCTTATGCCCAATACATGTTGAAGTGTGGAGAAAAGTCGTTTACTTGTATTTTTATGCTTTAATGAACTGCGGAAATATCTGAAGAAAACATACAGACAGTGCAGAATCAAAACAATAAATAAAATATTTGATTTCCCAACCACTGAATAAAGTATCTGTGTGGGTTCCGGGTTTCCATTTTTGGGGGAGCACTAAAAGACCCACCGCACCTTAACAAACATGTAGCGAAAGACAACAGTTATGAATGTGCAGAAATGGGACACATTGTGCCAAAGGGTGCAGATTTCACAGCTCAATGTGTCCTTTCAAGGATGAACACAGAAGAAGAAAAAAACTACTTAAATATGTAAAGACAAAGACTTTTACATAATAAGAGAAAAAGAAAACGACTTGAAACAGCACATACTTACCCCAAGACAGGATTCATGTACCATGACTGTTCTGGGACCTGCCTGGGGATCTGGTTTGTTCTAACAGGATGTTCATACGCCTGAAATAGGTCAGAAAAATGTCCATGGTGTTAAGTGTTCCCCTGCCCAACTCACCCCAGGCAGTAACATGCTTGACACTATCAATAAGACAAACACCCGAGTGCAGTGCCTACACTGCGGGGAAACAATCACCTCCTGGTCACTGAATGTTGACAGTTGAATGCTGAATTAAGAACCAACATCACAGAACTCAGGACACCCCCATAATCGCTCCAGCCCCAACTTAAGCAGCAAGGGAATTTCTATTCCTGTGGTACCAGTAACTGGCTACATGATAGTTTCTGTTATAATCATACACTAGACAACAACTTTAGGCTACTGATTACACTGTTACATGAATATAACTGCAACTGTTGTAAAATATTGACTCCTAATTCACATCTGAAGCCAGCATTCTGACAAACAAATCCAATGTGTTCATGCAGCAGAAGATAGGTTACAAAAATAACCCCCATCTTCTGTCATTGCAAACCCAAACAGAGCATAAACTTCAATGCAAGTTAACATTGCTGCAACTAATGCTATTTGTGTCACTCATCAATGTATACTAACTAGCAAACATTGACAGCCAACAGTTGAACAACTGTACAACCAGCAGCTGACACAATCAACACTGTAGTATACCTGCTTTCTGAAGCCAAAGTAGAAGCCCATGAAAATCAGTGGCATGGAGATGCCAAACCACATGCACAATAAGGCCAGCATGGTAGTGAATGGTACCTGGTATGAGAAAGAAGGCAAAATCTGTTAAGTCTGATATGTCACATCTTTTAGTGTTTACATCAAATTGGTTTTCTTTTCTTTATTCAGATAATCCTGTGGGGACAGGGGCTTGAAAATAAAAGGTACAGGAAAGTTACAGAATCTTATGTGCATCCTTAATTGATTCCATTTGATTTGCATCAATATTCTCAGACATTTGCTTCTGAATGTTTAATGTCTTGTGGTTCTCCAACTTACACTGGCACATGCCAAAATGAAAAGAAAACTATCAAAACTGAAAACAGGTAACTTGGTTTTAAAACTATCAATGTGAACAACTAGTTTAAATATGACAAATCTACTGTCTTCGTTTAGCTATAAAGAGATGCTGTGTAACATTTGTTCCCACAGACAGAAGAGAGAGAACCAGCCATACTTACAGCTCCAGACGAATGTTTCCCCCAGATGAAGAAGTTCAGAAGCAGGCACACTCCAAACAGAATGGCTGGGTACACAGTGGCAGTCTGTGGAAGTGAACCAAACACAGCATCAGACATCAAGCACATAGGTATAATTGCTTCCTGTCTCCACAAAAACACAGCATCAGACATCAGCACATAGGTATAATTGCTTCCTGTCTCCACAAAAACACAGCATCAGTCATCAAGCACATAGGTATAATTGCTTCCTGTCTCCACAAAAACACAGCATCAGACATCAAGCACATAGGTATAATTGCTTCCTGTCTCCACAAAAACACAGCATCAGTCATCAAGCACATAGGTATAATTGCTTCCTGTCTCCACAAAAACACAGCATCAGACATCAAGCACATAGGTATAATTGCTTCCTGTCTCCACAAAAACACAGCATCAGACATCAAGCACATAGGTATAATTGCTTCCTATCTCCACAAAAACACAGCATCATATATCAAACACATAGGTATAATTGCTTCCTGTCTCCACAAAAACACAGCATCAGACATCAAACACATAGGTATAATTGCTTCCTGTCTCCACAAAAACACAGCATCAGACATCAAGCACATAGGTATAATTGCTTCATGTCTCCACAAAAACACAGCATCGGACATCAAGCACATAGGTATAATTGCTTCATGTCTCCACAAAAACACAGCATCAGACATCAGCACATAGGTATAATTGCTTCCTGTCTCCACAAAAACACAGCATCATATATCAAACACATAGGTATAATTGCTTCCTGTCTCCACAAAAACACAGCATCAGACATCAAACACATAGGTATAATTGCTTCCTGTCTCCACAAAAACACAGCATTAGACATCAAGCACATAGGTATAATTGCTTCCTGTCTCCACAAAAACACAGCATTAGACATCAAGCACATAGGTATAATTGCTTCCTGTCTCCACAAAAACACAGCATCAGACATCAAGCACATGGGTATAATTGCTTCCTGTCTCCACAAAAACACAGCATTAGACATCAAGCACATAGGTATAATTGCTTCCTGTCTCCACAAAAACACAGCATTAGACATCAAGCACATAGGTATAATTGCTTCCTGTCTCCACAAAAACACAGCATCAGACATCAAGCACATAGGTATAATTGCTTCCTGCCTCCACAAAAACACAGCATCAGACATCAAGCACATAGGTATAATTGCTTTTTATCTCCACAAAAACACAGCATCAGACATCAAGCACATAGGTATAATTGCTTCATGTCTCCACAAAAACACAGCATCAGACATCAAGCACATAGGTATAATTGCTTCATGTCTCTACAAAAACACAGCATCAGACATCAGCACATAGGTATAATTGCTTCCTGTCTCCACAAAAACACAGCATCATATATCAAACACATAGGTATAATTGCTTCCTGTCTCCACAAAAACACAGCATCAGACATTAAACACATAGGTATAATTGCTTCCTGTCTCCACAAAAACACAGCATCAGACATCAAGCACATAGGTATAATTGCTTCCTGTCTCCACAAAAACACAGCATTAGACATCAAGCACATAGGTATAATTGCTTCCTGTCTCCACAAAAACACAGCATTAGACATCAAGCACATAGGTATAATTGCTTCCTGTCTCCACAAAAACACAGCATTAGACATCAAGCACATAGGTATAATTGCTTCCTGTCTCCACAAAAACACAGCATTAGACATCAAGCACATAGGTATAATTGCTTCCTGTCTCCGCAAAAACACAGCATCAGTCATCAAGCACATGGGTATAATTGCTTCCTGCCTCCACAAAAACACAGCATCAGACATCAAGCACATAGGTATAATTGCTTTTTATCTCCACAAAAACACAGCATCAGACATCAAGCACATAGGTATAATTGCTTCCTGTCTCCACAAAAACACAGCATCAGACATCAGCACATAGGTATAATTGCTTCCTGTCTCCACAAAAACACAGCATCAGACATCAAGCACATAGGTATAATTGCTTCCTGTCTCCACAAAAACACAGCATCAGACATCAGCACATAGGTATAATTGCCTCCTGTCTCCACAAAAACACAGCATCAGACTCAAGCACATAGGTATAATTGCTTCCTGTCTCCACAAAAACACAGCATCAGACATCAAGCACATAGGTATAATTGCTTCCTGTCTCCACAAAAACACAGCATTAGACATTAAGCACATAGGTATAATTGCTTCCTGTCTCCACAAAAACACAGCATCAGACATCAAGCACATAGGTATAATTGCTTCCTGTCTCCACAAAAACACAGCATTAGACATCAAGCACATAGGTATAATTGCTTCCTGCCTCCACAAAAACACAGCATCAGACATCAGCACATAGGTATAATTGCTTCCTGTCTCCACAAAAACACAGCATCAGTCATCAAGCACATAGGTATAATTGCTTCCTGTCTCCACAAAAACACAGCATCAGTCATCAAGCACATAGGTATAATTGCTTCCTGTCTCCACAAAAACACAGCATCAGTCATCAAGCACATAGGTATAATTGCTTCCTGCCTCCACAAAAACACAGCATTTCTGACTCTACAACATACCACAAATAAAGGCACTGTATTAGGCCAAAGGGTGAGAGAATTAGTGGGTGTGAGTTTGCACGTAGGTGTGTGTCCTCCACATGCATCCCAATTATGTCTGTAACACTAGGACCCTGGATAATGGAAAACTGGGCTAACAATATTTGTGGGTTTGGGTTTAGGTGACGGATCAACATTATGGCACAAGGGTAGTAACCGATAAGTGCTCCGTTCTACTTCTAACTCAAGCCTGAGTCTGAAGAATCTCAGCTCAGTGCACAAACTCTGTAACACCGGTGAGAATCCTGAAATACTTTAGGTAGATTTTTAAATCGAAATTTTGCCCGAAATTTGTTACAAATCTTAAGTCAACAAAGTTACAAATCTCGAGTCTGCAGTAATAAAATAATGTTAACACTAGGACCCTTGAAGAATGTAAGACTGTAGTAATGACCTAGATCTGTAACCCTAGGACCATGTGTGAACAGTAGTTTGTAGTCATAAATTGTTTGTACCATAATGGAAACGGATGACTTACTTGGAAGGCTGCTTTTTTCCACTGAAGTCCTTTCATGGTCTTGTAAAGACGAGCAGCAAAATATCCAGCAAAAAGCCTAGGGAGAGATGCTCATCTATAAATCACTGATTTATGCATGCAAATAGGAAACTCAAATATATCCATGAAAATATATACAGAACACACTAACATGCTTTACAATCATTCAATAATGAAACTGACTGTTATAGCGGCGAAGATCATTTTAAAGTCATTTATGAAGCAAAGCATGTCATAAAAACTGGGAACATTCACTTAAGATCTGGAAAAACTGTAAAGACACTCAGTTAGCAGACAACAAGCAACCAGCTATTGTGTTCAGCTAGTGAGAGCTGCAGAAAACAGCAATAGTAAACATTAAATTATCTTGTAAACTCAGAAAAAACCCTACTGAGACAGTTCAAATGTTTCCCAGCACTTCAGCGGCCTGCAGAAGGCAGTCTGCAGACTGATAACTTCCAGAAAATGAGTATTTCACCTCCTCAGCACACTGGGGTGAATTTAGATTTTTGTAATCTCAGAGTGGCCAGGCATTCAGACAGCAGCCTCGGGTGTCAAAGGAGGTATTGTGTTACACATCGTACTGGTGTACTTTCTCTGATGCTATCTTTCCATTTGTGTTCCTGGTCTATCTTCTGCCTTCTCCCATTATTATTTAGATGATGACAGTCTAAACATCATCAAACAGGTACGCAAACCAAGACAATTATCCAGCCACAGATAGGTGCTTGTCCGAAGCATACAGCACCATCTTATGTTTGAGAAATTCAGCATAGCAGAGCAGGGTATCCACACCTAGTGAGACCAATTCAACTGGAAGTCCATACCTAGCAAGACCAGTTTAACTGGAAGTCCATACCTAGCAAGACCAGTTCAACTGGAAGTCTATGCCTAGCAAGACCAATTCAACTGGAAGTCCATACCTAGCAAGACCAGTTCAACTGGAAGTCCATACCTAGCAAGACTAGTTTAACTGGAAGTCCATACCTAGCAAGACCAGTTTAACTGGAAGTCCATACCTAGCAAGACCAGTTCAACTGGAAGTCTATGCCTAGCAAGACCAATTCAACTGGAAGTCCATACCTAGCAAGACCAGTTCAACTGGAAGTCCATACCTAGCAAGACTAGTTTAACTGGAAGTCCATACCTAGCAAGACCAGTTTAACTGGAAGTCTATGCCTAGCAAGACCAGTTTAACTGGAAGTCCATACCTAGCAAGACCAGTTCAACTGGAAGTCCATACCTAGCAAGACCAGTTTAACTGGAAGTCCATACCTAGGGTGACTAATTCAACTGGAAGTCCATACCTAGCAAGACCAGTTTAACTGGAAGTCCATACCTAGGGTGACTAATTCAACTGGAAGTCCATACCTAGCAAGACCAGTTCAACTGGAAGTCCATACCTAGCGAGACCAGTTCAACTGGAAATCTATACCTAGCGAGACCGGTTCAACTGGAAGTTCATACCTAGCGAGATCGGTTCAACTGGAAGTCCATACCTAGCGAGACCGGTTTAACTGGAAGTCCATACCTAGTGAGACCAGTTCAACTGGAAGTCCATACCTAGTGAGACCAGTTCAACTGGAAGTCCATACCTAGTCAGACCAACGAGACTAACAATATAACCAGCTTCTCATGGGAACAATTAGTAGAAGTATTTTGGAGTGGCTGCTGCATCGACGGACTGAGCACGCATGAGAATGCCCAATGTGCAGTGACATTGATTGTGATAACATAACATAACTAGGGTTCTATTTCTACGGAGGACAGTGTCTGTGTGTTAAAGTTTTTGAACCAATCTCATCATTTTTAGGAAGTGGTATAAAAATTGTTCAGGGTAAAAGACTGGGGCATTATCACAGATTATTCCCACAGACAACAGTCTGTGCACTGTAACCAACCTTCATTGTGGGGAAAGCACACACATTTTATTTTTCTGTTTACAGACAAAATCATCACAAACATAGTCAAGTCTTACCCCATAAACATATAGAGGAATATTCCAACAGTCATCAGAGAGCCCCTAGCAGATGGAGACAACATGCCAAGCATTGCAAATACTGAGGATAGAAAAAAAAAAGCTACCACTAACATCCTCTACAACATGTGTAACATTATTATCTCAACTTTCCCTAAACTGAATAAAATGAAACAAAAATGCCTTACATATTTAACTTTCTAGCCAGTCAATGCACCACAGGTGAATTCTAGCCCAGTCAATGCGCTCACACACGTGACCAGTTACTGTTAACATGTTTCACCAGTGACTGTTAACATGTTTCAATTTACATATGGAGAGTTTGCAGTTTTAACATTTGATGTCAGTAAAATAAAATTCTGGCTGGAATTAATTTGTCAATCAAGTACCATGTGGAATAGGTATTGTTAAAGATAAGGAAACGACTTAATGCTTTGAAGGTGATGGCATTAGCGTACACAGAACAGAGAATGCTCTACACTCTATCAGTAACTGATTATTTCATGCTGGGAGTATGGTTTTGGCATGCTCATGTTATCTAACAGCTAAACAGAGAAGCTGGAACACAAGTACAATGAAGCCATGTTAGTCATTTTGGGATAGACACAGTGCACTCCAACAGTATCCATGTGCTTTGCCATCTGTATATGGAAGATACAGGGTTAAAATGTACCTTAAAGTTGCAACAGACACTGTCTACATGAGGCCTTGTGGGACAGCAAGGGAAATCGGTAGAAAAAAAAGGTAGTTCCTGGATGGCTCCGGCTGAAGTCAAGCTCAGAACTGTTTGTGCTACTGACAAGATAGAGCATATTGAGAAAATGGATTACAGTGCCACCCAGCAAAAAAGACTTCCACAAAGTGATAGTTACCTTGAACAGAGGGTGTCAGCAGTGGATAGCTGGAAAAATAGAGGCATCAGTGCAAGACCAGTTGAAATATATGCCTAGGATGGTTATATACACAGATTGGTCTGTAGTGAGAGGTAGAAAGAGTGGGTGTTTATTTTTTGTTGTAGTTGCAAAGGTTGATTGACACTGTTTTGAAACAGAGAGCCTCGTGTGAAACGTCACATCATCCAGTATAAGAATGGAGGTGGAGGCAGTAACGGCAGCTTTCCGATGGCTTGAGAGCAGCACAGCCCAACATGTAGTCATTTAACGGAGTCAAACAGAATGGTTTGGAAAATAAAAACCGGAGTCCTATAGGTAGACTGGATTGTTTCGCTTGATAAGACTCTGATCAGTCGCACATTGTGGCTTTTCTGTCAAGGATATTCGGCTGTGCCGGGTTATGAGCAAGCTGAGAAACTGGCTGCTGTCACTCCTATGGGTGGTGAGCTATGTTATGATAAAGCGGAAGTGGTGAAGGCTCTCTGGAATCAAGTGAACAGTGCAACAGAACAGATCAAGGATCCACATATTGAGACTGATTCAGCAGGCAGTGAGCAGAGGATCTGGAATATGTTCAACACTGCAGGGAAAACATGGGCAGACTTGTAATCAGGTTGCAACACGTACTGTTAGCATATCAACTTCATTCTTGGTGACTTAAATAAGCTTACAAGACAAATGCAAATAAGAAACTAAACAGCGTCGTTTAAAAAACAACAACTCACCAATGGTAATAAGTGCCATGAAGAAGATCTGAATGCCTGCACCAATAAAAGAAGTCAACAATTTTGAGAAGCGTGGCGGCCTAAAGACATCCCCATGAACTAACTTCCAGCCAGTTTCCTCCACTGTTTCATCCTTTGTGATATCAAAAAACAATACATTAAAACGTGTTGAAGTATTCAGCAGTAACAAGACACAGGATACCAATTTAATCTGTTCCATGATTGAGCTCATAAGGTGAATAACTTGTACCCTGAAACTTTTTTCTTAATAAAATTAATGTAAATAATTTTAACCTTTCCAGCCCTAATAAAATGAACCTATTCTTTTCAAAATTATGTTTTTCATTTCATTAATAGGGACAAATGTGTGGCACTGCTTTTTTATTATTGCCAGCAATGGAAAACAGGTTTACTTCCAACCATGGTGCTACAGTTCATCATCATGATCATCAAGTGCCTTTTTAACTGGCTGATCCTCCTTCTGAAATGTTAACTTGACCCAATCCATTTAAAACTCACTGAGATGTGTCAGATAATGCCCAAAGATCTTTTCTCTCCAGCTCACATCCTAGATTTCAGCTCACATCCTAGATTTCAGCTCACATCCTAGATTTCAGCTCACATCCTAGATTTCAGCTCACATCCTAGATTTCAGCTCACATCCTAGATTTCAGCTCACATCCTAGATTTCAGCTCACATCCTAGATTTCAGCTCACATCCTAGATTTCAGCTTGTATTCTTGAGCAAACAGAACTGGCATGCTTGACCACCTAATCTGACAACCCGTATCCAGGTTCACTTATATCTTGAGGTTCCAATTTAACCCTTTAATAAACATATGTACTAATAGATTGTTGTATACTCTTCTTCTTCTTCTTCAGCGATCTCTGGTCATGCGCATAATCCACTGTGGGTCATAAACTGGGATGTCTTTTCAAGGTCTCTTAGGTTTCCCCAAAGCTTAGTTGTCAGTTCTACTGGGTGTTGCCATATGTCGCTCCGCAGCTCCGCCAGGAGAGGACAGTCTTGCAGGACATGTTCTGGAGTCTGTTCAGCACGAAGGCACCGGCAGAGAGCTGTTTGGCTCATACCTAATTTATGTGAGTGTTTATTGAGTCTGCATTGTCCAGTGCGTAAGCGAAAAACTGTGACTTGGTCTGTTCTGTTCAAATGTTTCAGAGAATCTTTTTCGTAGTTATAACCAGTGTTGGTTTTCCAATCTGTTTCTGATTTTCTCTTAATGAGAGTTTTGACTTCTGGAAAAGATAGTGGCTGGTAGGTCTGTGGTTTGTTACTGCCTTCCTTGGCTAAAGCATCTGCGCTTTCATTGCCTTTGATGCCACAGTGTGACGGAATCCACTGCAAGTGAATTTCTGCCTTATTTGACAACATAGCAAGTTCATGTGTTAGACGATTGTTGTATACAACTGTTTGTCCACTTTAGTATTGTTCCAGAACATGCACGTCTGTTTTACAGATCAGGCTTATTTGTATGCAGACTACTAGTTCCTTGCCTCTCAAGCAGATGCACTCCAACTTCAAAGAAAACTAATTAGTCGACTCTTGACCATCTGCTTGTTAGGGAGGCTGGTTGGTCCATTCTTCTTTCCCTCAAAATAGGGCTCTCAGAACCCACAAGGGAAGCAGACTTGTTCATAACTGCAAATTTCACTATGGGAGTTTTTTTTAATGGAATCAGGCAAACAGTTATGCCAACCCTCCTTAGCAGCATGCACGGCAGGTTACAGTGTTCTATTCTTTGCTTCCTTAATGGGCCCCTGTAACACAAGGTTGGAAAAAAATTTTATACAATAATTAAATATTTATAATGTAATCTCTTGCACTGAAAATACATAAAACTGTCTTGTGAAAAGGCATGATGAAAACAAGTTTCATTTACCAAATCATCATCCTTGTTGTACTGGGCTATGTCTCTTCGCAAGGTCCGCACCATAATCATTGTCAATATACCTAAAAAGATCAAATCAAGTTTTAAATCATCTACAGTGATTATATAACATAAGTGTACAAGTAATTCACTATTCTGTATCAGAGTATGCTCTTTTCTACATCTTACACATGAAAATATAGGTACACCTGACTGAAGATCTTCTTCAGCGATCTCTGGTCATGCGCATAATCCAGTGGGCCATAAACTGGGATGTCTTTTCAAGGTCTCTTAGATTTCCCTAAAGCTTAGCTGTCAGTTCTACTGGGAGTTGTCATATGTTGCTCCTCAGCTCCGCCAAGAGAGGACAGAGAGCTGTTTGGCTCATACCTAATTTATATAAGTGTTTATTGAGTCAACTCCGCTAAGACCAGTCCCAAGCCCGGCTGTAAAAGGAGGAGGGTCTGACTGAACCTGAGTGCTTCATGCGTCTCCGGAAGTAGTGGGTAACCGTGAATCAGCCAGACGGCCTGCATGGAGGCCGCAAGGAGGCAGCTCCTCCACCATGCAAAGGCACAACAGGCCAATCACCTGTTTGCCTTAAACCACGATTACAAGCAACTACAGAGAGAAAAACCGGACGGATCTTAACGGCGACGAACTGGCATGGCTTACGGACTACGATTTATGGAACATGGAACATAAGAGGCATTAACGGAAAGGAAAACGAGTTAGTAGGGGAGATGAGGAAAGCAAAATTAGGAGTATTGGCTCTGACTGAAACCAAGAAAAAGGGGCAAGGAATCACAGATCACGATGGAAGTATGCTGCTCTACAGTGGTGTCCCTATGACGGAGAGAGCCAAGGGAGGTGTTGGCTGTATTGTGGCCAGGAATCAAGTTAGTAACATCAAGGGATGGAAATTCATCTCCGAGCGAATAATGGTGTTAGATCTGAAAGAAGAAGATAAAATTGTCAATTTTGTCATTGTGTACGGGCCAAATGAAGATGAGCGAGTAGATGTTAAAGAAGAATTCTTTGAACTGTTCCAAAGGACCATAGGTGACTGTCACGATCAAATTATCCTCCTAGGAGATCTAAATGCCAGAGTAGGAAATGATCACTCTAGATGGGGTGGAGTGATCGGGAGATATGGTGAAGATGTTTTGAATGATAATGGCAAGCGACTTCTCAGATTCTGCAGGGAACAGAACCTTGTCATTACAAACACAAAATTCCCCCACAAGCGTATACATGCATACACAAGATGTGAACCTTCAAAGAATGAAAAATCCATCATTGACTACGCCATGGTTAGGAAAAGTTCATTCAAGTTTGTGAGAGATGCCAGAGTCATGAGAGGACCAGAGATTGGAAGTGACCACTATCTGGTCACAATAAAGAGAACAACTGAAAGAACTGCTCCAACAAGGCAACACCGACAACCATGCAAGCAACCAAGAAGGGATGAGGATTAAAGCATACAAGTTAAGAGAGCCAGATATTAAGGCTAGATACCAGGAGCTTATAGTGAAAGCAATAGGAACTGAAGAAGAATCATCAGAGGACACTGAAACCCTCTGGTGCAGATTCAAGAATATCCTCACAGCAGCTGCAGTAGAAGCATGTGGTGAAGTCCCAAGTGGAAGGCGGGGACACAGGACACCTTGGTGGACAGAAGAAGTCAAATTGAAAATAGGAGAAAAGAAAAGGGCATGGAAGCAATACCTGGCAGCCAGGAACACAGCTGAAGAAATAGAAAAATATAAACAATATGTGGCACTCAGAACAGAGACCAAAAATATTGTGCTTAAAGCAAAACAGAAATCATGGGAAGAATTAGGAGAAAAGTTGGAAAAGAATGCAAGAGAAAACCAAAAACTGTTCTACAAGACCCTTAAGAACATGAGGAAGGAGAAAGAGTGCCCACTTAAATTCATAAAAGACAAGGAAGGGGCTCTGCTTACTTCTACAAATGATATCATGGGCAGATGGAAAGAATACTTCTCAGAGCTCCTTGGCGTTGAGGGAAGTCATGACACAGAAATAATGGACCTCACTGCTGAGAAGGAAATCATCCATGGGGAAGATAACATTAGGATGGAAGAATTGAAGGCAGCTATTGAGAAGATTAAGCTGGGAAAAGCAGTTGGTCATGATGGTATAACACCAGAGATGGTCAAATATATGGGAGTCGAAGGTGAGCGCCTTCTACTGAAGGTTCTCCAGGCAGCCTGGTGTAGCAAAACTATACCAAAAGATTGGGAGATTGCCATCATTATACCTATATTTAAAAAAGGTGATAACAGACAATGTCAAAACCACAGAGGCATATCCCTCCTCAGCGTTCCCGGTAAAAGTTACTCTAGAATTCTTGAGCAGAGACTTAGAAGTCTGGTAGAGCCACAGCTGGAAGAGGCCCAATGCGGCTTCAGAGCAAACCGAAGTACTCAAGACCTTATCTTCACACTGAGACAGATGAGTGAAAAAGCCCTGGAATATAAGAGTGAGATGCACTTATGTTTTTTGGATCTGGAAAAGGCATTTGACAAGGTACCCTGGAACAAGCTCTGGGACTGCTTGGCAGGGAAAAACATCCCAGCACCCCTGATCAGTGCAATACAGAGTTTCTACAAAAAGTGCAGAAATTATGTAAGAACAGCAGACCAAAAGTCAGAAGAATTCAAGACTGCCAGCGGTGTTAGACAAGGTGATATTCTCTCACCTTACCTCTTCATTCTTATGATGGATGATGTCATCAAGACCTGTAAGGAGAAGACAAAGAAGTACTCTGTAGGGTACTGGAAGATGAGACCAATCTGTAAATCAGAGCTGGCTTTTGCAGACGATGTGGCCCTGATAGCTAAATCAGAGGCACACCTTCAGTCCAACTTACTTGTCTGGAAGGAAGAGCTTGAAAAGAAAGGGATGACCATCAGTGTCTCCAAAACTAAAACCATGGTGATCTCAAGAGAGGAGAAGAAACACCAGATCATGATGGGACAGTATGCGTTGGAGCAGATTAACCAGTTCAAATACCTTGGAGTTGTATTAGACCAAAATGGAGGCATTAAGACTGAGCTGGCTACACGAAAAGCAGCTGCTGGGAGACTCTTCCAGGCCATAAACCAAGGGTTTCTTAGCAAAAGAGAAATTGGCAAGAGGACGAAAATGGCTGTTTACCGCTCTACCTATGTACCAGTCCTGACCTCTGGGTGTGAGTCAAGGGCAATGACAACAGCTCACAGAAGCCAGCTGCAGGCCTCGGAAATGAGATACCTGAGAAAGGTGGTCCAAGTGACAAGAAGGGACAAAGTCTGCAATCAGACAATACGTCAAGATCTTGATACCCAGCCCTTACTAACCCGAGTAGATCAGTCACAGTTACGATGGTTTGGACATGTATGCAGAATGGGAGAAAATCGGCCACCATGGCAAGCATGGGAGGCTAAGAACCAGGGAACCAGACCTCCGGGACGACCCAGGGTGCGCTGGGAAGACAACATCCGACAGTCCCTAACTGACAGAGGACTGGAATGGAACAAAGCCAGAAAGAAAACTGCTGATAGAGACGTCTGGCGATCTCTCTGGCAAACCTCTACACCCCAAGGTAGAAGAGGAGTGACTAAGTAAGTAAGTAAGTTTATTGAGTCTGCAGTGTCAAGTACGTAAGCGAAAAACTGTGACTTGGTCTGTTCTATTCAGTTGTTTCAGAAAATCTTTTTCGTAGTTATAAGTTTTCCAATCTGTTTCTGATTTTCTCTTAATGAGAGTTTTGACTTCTGGAAAAGATAGTGGCTGGTAGGTCTGTGGTTTGTTACTGCCTTCCTTGGCTAAAGCATCAGCGCTTTCATTGCCTTTGATACCAAGGTGAGATGGAATCTACTGCAAGTGAGTTTCTGCCTTTTTTGACAACACAGCAAGTTCCTATTTTAGACTTTGTTGACTGAAGATAAAGGAGCAAGCAATTCTGTTGTTTACTGTAGCAATGCTCATAAGTATGAATGAAAAAATATTACATTTATGCTTCTTTGGGAGATTTTAAATAATTTACACAGGGAACAGAAAACGCTGCTATTTTTGTGTGTGTTCACTGGTGCTATTATCAGTTTTAGTTTCAAAATTAACCTCTTCAATTCTAATTCTTTTTTTTTTTTTTTTGCTAGCTGATTTGTTCACAATGCTCGGTCTGTAATGTAAGTAAAGTACCTTTTTCCATGCCTTGAGGCATACTGTATGTTATACAAAACATCATACTTAGTCTCTTAGCCCTAAGTTTCCCCCCAAAAACCCTGTAAGACACACTGTAAATGTAATTAAAACAACAGTCAGTAAAGACAGTAACTACAATCCCTACCTGAGAGAAAGAAAACCACCACCACAGAGTTGATAATGGAGAACCAATGAATCTGTACATCGCTCATAGCCAGGTATATGTCCCATCTTGATGCCCAGCTCACTGAACTCATCTTCCATTCAACAGAATAAGTAAACCACACTTTTGTCTCTTCTGTTTACATAACAAAACAATTATGTTAATTATGATCACATGTCAGTTAGACAAGAAGTGAAAAACAAGTTTTGTCTACTCTTTATGATAACCAATAAATAGTAAGTTTTTGAGTTAAGAACAGATATCACAGCATAAGGGACATTCCCATAAGCACCCCATCCCTATCTTCAGCAGCCAGCTTAGAGTTCCTATTCCAATGAGACCAGTGGCAACATGGTAAAAGTGTTTGTTTTGTGTTGGTCAAATATCCTAGTCACTTGTCCTCTTGACTGTTCTCTCCATAAAAATTATCCACAATTAAATAGCCAAAATGTCCGCCTGTTCATTTTCCAACACTCCTGCATATCCCCACAGAAAAGATCCAAAGTCCTTTAGACTAATAAATGTCCTCTTATCCTGTGGATGTACATTATAATTTTTTTTTGGGCCATATCAATAAATGTTAGGACATTCTGAGATAAATGTTACCATGAGAATGTTAACAGCTGCACACTTCAAAATCAAGTCTACATATAAAAAGTTATCTATAATATCAGCCTTATTCCCCCAGCTCTATCCTCAAATCTGGGATAGTCAACAATAGCAAAAAACAGAAGGTGCACAGTAAAGGATTTTGTTCCATATCTTCAGTGTACTGGGCATATAGGACCAGAGCTACTTTTGAATTAACTGACAAGCATTCTGTGGGTGATGTGGTCAGCATTATACCTGCCACTTTTACTTCCAGGGAATCTACTTGCTACCCACTCAAGGCTGGGTCCACCTAGGAGCCAAGGTCATTTTTGTTTAAAGTCTGGCTCTGTTAGGGCCAGAACCCATGACCTTTCCACCTACAGGTGAGTGTCTAGCTGCTACACAGGAGGTCTAGAGTATATGTTCACAATTCTTTTGTGGTAGAAAACTGTAAACAACATGCAAACAAAGCAACGGACAATGTATAGTGTGTGCAGATTCCAGTATAGACAGAAATGATAAAGGAAGTCCATAATAGATACTTGTCTTCGCACAATCTATACCCCCTTGTGCCGGTTCAGGGACTCTATTTGGGCGGGAAAAATAGATCCACTGCTGCCCTAACAAATATGTAAAAAACTACTAATTGGGGGTTTTGCTGAATTTAGACGTGTTGGCCTGAAACGAGCAAATTTGGTAGCCTAGCTGTAAACCACAACAGAATATCCTTTTAAGGGCAAACACAGAAGAAGATATTCCAGGCCCTGACAATATGGTGAGGTGGCTGTGTCCTTCCTGGTCACTTTTCTTTGGCAGACAATTCACACACAATTCTGAAAACTGTGAGGATGCCCACTGTTAGGAGCCAGAGCTGACCCAGGGTGGGGGTGCCACATGCAGGGTTGGAGCCTGAAGTAGTGTCACAGCAGGCAGATGGGATACTCTCACTATTGGTGAGGAGTCTGATAATCTAGCTGTGTGTGGGGGGAGGGGGGGGGGGGAGGTGGGACATCAAAACACTAAAGAATTTCACAGCTTGATGAAGAGGATCTCTAAAATGAGCTTATCAATCAGTCAATTTCATGAAAGGCAACTGAGAAAGTAATCATTCAATCTTAGAACATTAAAAAATAAAATGTTACGTGCACACCCACATTTCTGCAGATTGAACAAGCATAAGAAAACTACCACAGCAAAAACAAATGAACAATAAGAGACAAGCAGAAGCCAAAAAAATCAGCACATGTGCATTTTAAGATGTCCCAGATAACACAGCGCAAGCTTATTTGTAGGTTAAAATAATAATAATGACAAGATGCCCTACCACTCTCATCAATCTTCTGAGGATTTTTGGGATCAGAAAGTCTGCAAAATCCAGTTTCTTGGTTCACAACAATTTCTCCAAAGGCAAAGCTAAAAATGAAGCAAAACATTAGTTGAGACAGTTTTCAGCACCAGCATGTCGCAGACTTGCACAACAGTTAGACATAATAACAATAAACCAATAAATATATTACGGTTAAGATAATACTGTCCCTGTGCTGGTTCAGAAATCTCACTAGGGGTGGAGGGAATAGGCCCATGTCCACTAGGAAACATGCTGTAAAAAGTGACTAATTGTGGGTTTACAGAAATTTGATGTGTTGCAGATAAAATATAAAAGATAGGTCTAGCTCTATATGCCTAAAGGGACCGTTACTTCATTAACAGTAAAGTAACAAATGTTTGTAGACATCCGACCTCCTTTGTCTACAAACGAAGCCTATTTGGTTTATGGCTATAGCCCTATATTTTTAGACCAATCGTCACATGACATTCATTCATTCATTGTCTTGCTGTGCCATTATATGTCACATAAGTCTGTCAGTACATTCCTCCATTCCGTTCTATCCTGCACAACCACTTTGATGGAATCCAGTTGAGCACCTTTGGCTTCAATATTCACCTTTGGGCTGGGAGAGATAGACGCAAGTGAAAACCTGCTGTGGGTATATAATGTTGTAGGCTTAACAATGAATATAAAGTATGAGATCAGATGTGGGAGTGGAGATGAGATGTGTGGTGATCATCAAAGAATGGTTTAGACAGCTGATGTATTAATGCCTACAAGAGGCATTCTTTGGTAATATACTGGGCAGGACCTCATGATTTTCATTTAAATGCAATGCCTTGTGGCTGGGACTGCAAAAATGTCCTAGTAAATACACTGCCTGCTTCAAGATATTTATTGTGTGAAGGAGTGAAAGAAATAATTATATGAAAAAAAATATACAAATGGCATATATAGACTAATTAATTTCCCTCCATCTAGACTTCTTCTTCTTCAGGGTCACAGGCTGTAACTCTGGACGGAAAGTCATTTGTCCAACAAAGGATTTTAATCTTATCCCAGAACATAAATTTTGTGTACACATCCATTTTTAAGTTCTAGCTTATTTGTATGCAGACTGTTGGTTCCTTGCCTCACAGGCTGATGCACTCAGACTTTGAAGCAAACACTCTCTTATTAGTTGACTTTTAGACATAATTGTGTGCTTAACATCTCCCCTTCGCCACATAACCAGGCCCCGCAACCTAAATAGGGACATACAGACAGAATCCCTGAAAACAGGCACATCAAACAATTCAACAACACTTAACAAACCTAACCAAACCTGGCCTTAAATTCTTTCACATATATAAACTTGCCACAACTGGGTTGAGGGCCTATGTTTCAGTGGGATATAATGGACAGAAGAAGACTGTACCTTCAGCTGTCAACCTCCATGTTTAAGAAGACACAAACCACATTGCTAAATTATCAGGATACTTTAACAAACTTACCTTTTTGGTTTCACTTCAAATCCAACTACCCTGTAATTTTCACTGTGGACATAATGTAACAACTGTTAGGATTATTCTGAAGCAATTAAATGCTAATAAAACTAGCATATACATGTGAGTACAGAGACAGTTATGATATAATACAGTGAGAGAAAGATCAGGAGAAAAAAAATGACACAGATGCATATATATTTATATAAATGGAGCGTCCCGACTGCGCATGCGCATTTACAAACGTGGCTTTCATTGAATGTCACTAAAATGGAAATATTAGTTTCGAAAATTTTCCTAACAAATGTAGTCACCTGTCTCTAACAATGACAGGTATAATTTCAAACCATGACGGGTAAAAGTCCGGTATCAAAACAAAGATATCCTGAAAATTTCAGCTAAATCGGTTCAGTAGTTTCCGAGTCTATAGATCATAAAAAAAACACACAAACATTGATTTTTATATATATATATATATATATATATATATATATATATATATATATATATATATATATATATATATATATATATATATATATATATATTTTCGAAACTAATATTTCCATTTTAATGACATTCAATGAAAGCCACGTTTGTAAATGCGTATGCGCAGCCGGGACGCTCCATTTATCAACCATTCGCCGGCGTGATGCAACAAACCAAACTATCTCTGTATCGCTGATTGCGGCGTTAACCGTATTAGACACGGTTTCTATTTTCTTTCTTTTCAAACAACCTCCGATGAGTTAGAGAGTAGTCGGTGGATTTGAGAAAGGGCAGGTGGGGCGATCAAAGACTATGTCTGCGCAGATAATGATTGCGATATTTACCGTGTTAGACACGTACGATTTCTATTATTGTGCCATTTCAATAATACTTGAAGTTTATATCTGGGATATCTGTTTATGAGAAAACAATTGCCTGCGGTTTTGAGTTGTGTTAGAATCTGGACACACATCTTGCATAGTTTTGTTCTCTTTTTGTTGATTAGACGAAGTGGTTGGCTGGCCGAATGCTTAGTACACTGGGTTCCCGTGCGGGAGCCTAGGGTTCAAATCCCCGGTATGTCTGTGTTTTTTTTTTACCCCGGGGGGGGGGGGGGGGGGGGGGGGGGGGGGGGGGGGATAAAACCCAGACCTGCACTGTCATGGCGACAGAACTAGCCATGTGGCCATAAATATTTTTTAAAAACACAGGTTTGTGAGTTAACCAGTTGATAATAAAATTTGACCATTTCGCATACATATGATTTCATTTCAAACTTTCTGATCGCATGGTTACGCTGAATTTTCATAAATTTCCATTTATTTTCATTTCAATTTAATTATTTCTTCTGACATTGCGTTGGATTTAGGCTGTGTTTTTTATCATAGCGTTCATTTTGTAATTATGGTGTACTTTTCCTGTCACTTTTTTTTTTCTCTAAACTACTTCGATGAAGGAAAGAGTAGTCTGTGAATTGGGAGGGGGGAGGGGTAGCATAAACTGTTAACTGAGAGAGCTTTAAGTCACAGTAACTGCCTTACCAACTCAAAGGAGCAGTAGTAGTAGTAGTGGTTGGGCAGTTGCACCTTAGTGCTGTCATGCCGGAGACCGCTGGTAAGGTGATGGCATTTTTTTTTGGGGGGGAGCAAAATTACACATCCTAACCTGACCAGTCCGTGCCGACAGCATTAGCCTTGTGGCGCCAAATCCTCTGGCTCATAACTCCATGTCTACTACGATGGTAAAACAGATAGCAGTGACATTATTTTAGTTATTGTGGTGGTGGTGCTGATAGTAGTTGTACTGGTACTTGAAGAATAGTGTGGTAAATATTACACTAGCCGCATTTACTATTCATTACAATTCCTGCTCCCTATTTTAGTCCAGATGGACAGGGATATCAAGGTCAGTTACAAAAAATATCGTCGGGTGATGACTTTCAAATCCTTCGATGAGGGAGAGAGCAGTATTCGTGGATGGAGAAGGGTGGTGATGACAGAAATTGTTAACTTAAAGAGCTTAACGAATGATTTAAAGTGTTCATTTCTTAATTTGTTTGTATTTTACTAACGCTACCTACGCTAATCTCATATTTTTAACGACTTACTTGGTTATTTACAAATACAGCTCTAGCATGTGATAATCAAATAACCATTTTTTCTTTATTGTGCCAATAATACCATTTAAACGACCACTAATATAAGGACAAAATTATATGTTGCGTGTTCTAAAGTGGCAAACCAGACTATCTCTATATCTGTGCAGAGAATGATTGCGACATTAACTATATAAGACACATGCGATTTCTATTGTCTTGCTTTTCCAAAAGCCTTTGATGAAGAAGGGAGTAGTAGGTGGATTTGGAAGGGGGGAGAGGGGGCATCGAAGACTATCTCTGTATGTGCGCAGACAATGATAGCGACAGCAACCATATTAGACACGTGCAATTTCTATTTTCTTTCTTTTCCATTTAACCAAACTATGCCACAGCAACGCCTGGCCGGGTACAGCTAGAATATTTAGTATATTAGTATATATATATATATATACACACACACACACATATATACTTGAGAGAGAGAAGGAGACAGAGAATTTGAGAGTGTATATGTGTGTGTGTGTGTGAGACAGAGAGAGAGAGAGACAGAGAGAGAGAGAGAGAGGGGGGGGGGGGGGAGAACAGAGACAGTCCAATAAAGAAAACATACAACTTTTTTTTCATGGGTTTACTTTCCAGTATTACAGTAACAGCTTACTGGGTGACTTGCTTTCATTGCTTGAAGTAGCTACCATAGCACTAATACAATTATTCAGCCCTGTCTAAAAGAATTCATGAATTGCTACAAGTGTGAGATGCCTATGTATCAGACATTATAAACTAGCAGACAAATAAAATGAAACTTACTCTTCTCGTTTATGGTAACTCAAAACCATGTGAAGATGGTTATGGAGATATACCTAGAAGAGAAAACAAACAGCCTCAGTAATAAAACAAAGATACGTTTCTGATAATCAAATAACGATATGTTACTATGAATCAAACAATTATCCTATAAATGTTAAGATTTGTTCAGAAGTTTTTTCTCAGCCACCACCTGTCTGTATTTCATAGTTAAAAAGAATAAAGGATATGCTGTCCCAAGCTTCGTTCAGGACTTAATCTTATGCGTATTATTTCAAGCAAGTAACACTGTTCACTACTCTCCTCTTTTACCGACAACTGGATTGAAGGTCTATGCTTCAGTGGGGATAATGGACAGAAGAAGATTTGTACCTTCAGCTGTCAACCTCCATGTTTAAGAAGACACAAACCACATTGCTAAATTACCAGGATACTTTAACAAACTTACCTTTGTTAATAAGAAAAATATACTTACATCATTGCCACTGACAGAGCCTAGTCTGTAGCCATGCTCGTATATTGTTTGTCCATCAGGCATTACAATAGGTGTTGCACAAGGTAAGTTGTCCACAATCCTGATAAACAGAAACCAAAGTACATATAAACTAGACAATCCAGCAACAGGCAAGTTAAATATCTTTGCAAATACTGGGTCACGGTATTATGAAGAAGACTGATCTTTTCCCTCACTTCCCCTTTCCACTTTAGAAACATCTTTGGCAGCCAAGAAACAACAACTCCTATACATCAGATTGACTCTGCAAAAAACAAGTACCAGGAAATGTTCTGGAAAGTAAACGTGACTGGCATGATGTTAATAACATTACTTGGGTGCCAAATGCTCTATAAATATATACGGTTATCACCTTTTGCCTAATAAATAGGCCCTTCAGTTTTTGTATCTACTCACAGGATGGAGATGCACCCACCCCCTTTTTTTTTCTTGTGATCACTTTCTGATTGAAACAACAGATGAGTTCTTATGATAACACTGACTGTTTCTTCAAGTTGCCTATTTAATTTAAAAATTTTTTTTTTTTTTAGTAAATGACACTTTTCCATGGCTTCAGTTAGTTATCTCCCTTTTAGTTCCACATAATTCTGAGTATGTGTTGACTTAGTAGGCCAGTATTCCCTTCTTAATAGGCTGTACAAGGAACAGTCTTGCAGGACATGTTTTGCAGCTTGCACACAGCCCACACAGGCACAACAGTGAACTACTTAGATGATGCCTGTGCTTATGCTTGTTGAGGTTTGTTATGGATTGTCCTTATTTGTGGAAAGATGACCTGTCCATGCTGGTCAGTAAGTGGTAGTCATTACCGGCCCTACTCTTTTCACTTCTAAGAGACTGGATGGTCTTTTTTTTACCCCAAAGTACATTCCTGCATTGTCTTCCTGTTTGCATTCTATGGAGATGCTAAGACACATTTGTGTGACAGTGCCACAAGTGTCTTGTCCCACAGTTATACTGCAGATGAGGACGGAGCACTCACAGGGATGTCCTTAGTGCTGTGATGTCAGTTCTGAGCTCAACACTCAACAGTTACAAAGACCTATTCTACTTACCCTTCTGTGCTCTGCAGCATGTTTTTTAATCGGAAATTCTAATTACGGTGCATATCTGATCAAAACATCTATTAAGCTACATACAATCTTACGGCTTTTCCTCAGACAGAAAGCCAAAGCCAGCAAAAAGACGTACTCACAGATGAACATAGTAATCATGGCGAATCTTGTCAGCAAACTCCTTAGCTTCATCCTTGCTAAGTGTCTTGTGCTCATACTTTTTCTCAGAGGCTTTAAAACAAAGTGCCCTGCAGGGGACATCAACAGCCATCTCGACCTGCAAGCAAACAATCTGTGTACTGACAAAACTAAACATTCAATGCCACCACACTCGTGGGACAGCTTCTAGAAACCCTTGCCCCATCAACCTCTAATTGGGAATTCCTGAGCTTATATTTTAATGTCTTATTTCCTCGTGTGGGTTCCAGATTCCTACTGTGGGCTAAACAAGAACAGACCCACTCACTGCATCTCCAATAAGCATGTCGTAAGAGTTGACTAATTGGGGGAAGGGGAAAGGAGGGGGGAGGGGTGTGTTCCTTTGAAGTCAGGCAAGGAACCGATAGTCTGCATACAAAGAAGTCAGATCTGTACAATGGATGTGCTCAGAACACTCAGGTTCTGGAACAAGATTAAAGTCCAGAGGTGGATCAACAATCGGAACTTTCCTTCAGAGTTTACAGCCACTGAGCGTGAAGAAGAAGAATGTCTTATTTTTAAACACTAAAGTTAAAGTGGAAATGATATACTTCAATGCACTATGCCATCCTATATAACTCGGTCTCCATCCATAGAATACCTAGCTGCTCACTGAGCGCATCACACAAAGCATGACTTTGGTAGCTCCAGTGACTATTCCCAGCAATATTCGTAACAAACTGCATCTGTCAGCTGAACAATGCACCTGTAACCCAAGGTCTTTACCGCATGAAGCAGACAGCTACATCAGATCGCCACTTAGAACCACCCACCCCCCCCCCTTTTTGTTTTTAAATTAATTATTAAATACTATATATTATTACGGTATAATCAATAAAAGAAATAATATCCACACCAACATTTATGGGTAACAGACAAATGTCTAGGGAAGGAAAGTGACAGGCAAGGAAACTGCTGCATCACCCACTATGCCTTAGCCTAGAATATAAAGGCCTAAAACTTCACACACCAATACCAGTAACTGTATGGGACTACCTTCTCAAACAGTCTAGTTTTCTGCATTACATTAATGCAACTGACAGATTGTTTGGACTCTCTGTGGATGAATGTCTATTTTTTTTTTTTTTTTGGATTGTGTTATTGTAACTGATAGCCTGCTGAGAATGTCTGTCTTGTGTGTGGGTGATTGGGTGTGTTACGTGTAGGCAATTGCATGCTCTCTCTGTGTGGGTGACTGTTTAGTCAAGATTAGAATATAACAGCAGGTAGGTGATGTGCTGGCTGCCACTTCAGAATCAATGCCTCAACAGTCTGTTTTATTTCACTACAACTAGACTTCCAATAATTTTAAGGGCATGCAACTTTCCTGTAGCATTTTGTACACAGCCCACATAGGCACAATGGTAAAGGATGCTCATGTGAGTCACAGACTATCTCACGAATATTAAGGAATAAAATAAGGGCTTTAAAACCGAACTGCTATAGAAGGATTCTCGAATTACCTTGGACCAAGAAAAAAAGGCAAATACTGATATCCTAAAAGATCTGAACATCAAGGAAACTTGACTAGCATACAGCATCTGGTCTCAGAAAGTGAAATATTTTGGCAATATCAAGTGCCATAGTGGACTGGAAAGAATAGCAGTAGAAGGCATGGTGCCAGGAAAGAGGGGCAGTGGTTGACCAGCATGGCATGTGTCTAGGATATAAAGGGGTAGGAAAGTGCAAGAAACGGGAAGTCTGCTGAGTGTGAAACCTAGGTGTGTGTGTCTAGGATATAAAGGGGTCGGAAAGTGCAAGAAACGGGAAGTCTACTGAGTGTGAAACCTAGGTGTGTGTGTCTATGATATAAAGGGGTCGGAAAGTGCAAGAAACGGGAAGTCTGCTGAGTGTGAAACCTAGGTGTGTGTGTCTAGGATATAAAGGGGTCGGAAAGTGCAAGAAACGGGAAGTCTGCTGAGTGTGTGTGTTTTTTTTCTTCAGGCAGGCTGTGATGAGAGCGATTTCTGCAAAGGTCACGCCATATGATGACTATGAGACTTCTAATCAGATACACATTACCTTATAAGGGGTGTTGACAATTCTGTCTCCACGAAGTACTTCTCCTGAAAAGAACAAACATATGGGCTCCAGGTGAAAGTTTGGGTGGCCTTATTTAAAGTATAAGTGCACATACACGTACACACACATACACAAAACGGAACAAATCATTAAAGTATTAATTACAGCTATCTCTTATGCCAAGATTATGCTAAGGGAATAAAGCCAAATCAAACCCTTTAACAGCAGTCTTGGCGCAGTGATCTCGGTCACAGGTTTGAGGGAAAGTAAGGCCCCTGTAATGTGTACACAGAGTTACTCCGTACCTCACCTCAAGCTCCAGCTGGCTCTGTGCTGGTTTTACAGATCCTCATGCAAGACTCCTGCCACACATCCCCGTTGTGTGCCATGCCACGGTTATGGCTCAAATGAGCACAAACAGATGTGGCAGGGGATCTCAAAGTTGGTGACCCCCAGAGATGCAGAGCCCAGAAATCTTCTGGCTTTCAGCAGCCCACCCCCATGCATGGTTGAAAACATCTATCAAAACTCATTTGGAACATGAGCAAAGGCCCGCTAGACGTATACACTGCTAAATGACAACTCTCTGAGTAACCCCCGGACCAGAGCCTCACGTATCAACTCTGCATTTATGAAAACCTCTGAGGATGACGGAATGTTGAATGTTTAAGAATTGACATCACAGCACTCTGGATACTCCAATAATCACTCCGTCCCCAACTTCAGCAGTAAGCGAAGAGTTCCAATTCTGATGGTATCAGTAACTGTCTGACTGTAAATACGTCTCGCCTTTTACTTGAATGTTGATTGTCAGCCAGATATCCTGATAACTCCTCGCAGCACCATTCTCTTAAGACCTATTTGTGCCTCCTCACTGTTCACTCGCTCTCAAAGGGCCCTCACAACATCTAGCCAGTCATAAATCAAATCACCACAAAGTGGTGCGGAACCAGCCAGTCTATCTATTTCCCCACTGGCATGACCTGAGAAAATATCCAAACGACGCTAACTACCCAGGACCTCTGAAGCGATACTTGGCACTTTGCATGGAACCTGCTTGTCTCCACCTTTTTCAACATGTTCTGTGAGTCAGTTACAATTACGAAATGTGTATACAGCTGATTTAGATGACAGGGAATGCTCATGATCTGCCCTTGCCTTCCCTTGAGGGCCGACCAGTACACACAGTTTTTCTAGATGGGTTCTCCAGTTTAGGGTCAAAGAGCAGTCATGCAGTGAAGCCATAACACTGTTCCTAGTGGACTCTACACTTGTGATGTTCCTTACTGCTTATAATAAACTGTCAGCTTATGGATGGCATTTTGTGTAAGCTGACTTTAAAGACGTCCAACTAGGGTCACACCTTGCTTACAGCAGTCAGCAACAACATTACGGAGTGCTGTTCCAAGACGTTTACTGACATGATTGATACATTCCTCTTTGTATATGTGAATGTCCTCCCCACATGGTTTGATCTTGGTAAGCTTTGCAAATATTTTGGTGTCATCATCAGAAAGTACTGATGTATAGCCACCTTATGACGGGCCACATCCTCCAACACCATCATTTCAGCACATCCTGCACAGTTTAAAGGCTTCACATTCAGCTGCTCTGCATTATTAAATTACCCAAAATACTGTACTAAAAGCAGCAGTTAATTTGTATGATATAATGGCAGTTTTTTCAGTATGATGAAAATTACCTAAATTTTCACTTTTGTAATGTATTCCTTCATTGGGTGTGCAGAACGGCAAAGAATAATATTCATAGGGAAGTTGTGTTTTGGTACTTGTTAACTTGACAGCCTGAAAAATACAATGACAACCAAATAAAAATGCATATAAATTGAAACAAATGTTCTGTGCATCACCAAAGTTAGCTTTAAAACTTAAAGTTGTGAAACATTCTATATCGAAGGCTAACCGAGACAACAAATACTAGTTGAAGCTGCATGTGTCAGCCAAAAGGCGCAAATATTGCAGGAAGGTTGTAAACAGACTAAACGCATTTACATCTTCAGATAAACATGGAAGAAGAAGAAACATTATGAGTCAATTTACACTGTTCCAAACTATAAAAACTTGTCTCATAAAGCTCAAGCACTGTAAGTTTATAATGATAGGATACACACTTATAAAACCTAGTATAGTATAACAAGTATATGCTTTCACTGAAAAGGACAGGAATAAAGACATCAACAGTGTTTTCTTTGATCCATTTTTCATTCAGGGCGATTCCCCCACCTCCATTTTCTGTTGAATTTTTGCCGATCCATCTGTATATATTCATCAATCCAGGTGTTACGTGGGTATTGTTCTTCTATGTAGTTTAATGTGATTTTCCTTTTTTCTGTTTCATTTTGAGTGTGCTTTTTCTCAATACCAGGAATATTGTCCATCAATTCAAGCAGATGCTGCTGTCTCCAAGCAGGGAGCATATATGTAATGTGGACGGGTTTGGATACTGATAAGTTAAGTACAGGATCTTCCCTGATTTTAGTTTTTGCAGTCTCAAAGATTTTTCGTTTTAGTCTTTCCCTTCCCAGATGATTAAACCTTTGATACATAGGGCGATCTGTCAGCCTTCTAAATTTGTCTGCTTGTTGCTAGGCTCTGCTGTCTCTCCTATCCTCCATTGGTTGCAGACCTGTGACCTTTTCTAGTTCATTAATAGGCCTTGTTTTCATGACCCCAGTTATAATCTGCATTTCTTGATTCTGGACTCTACTTATTTTGATAAAGTTCGACTTTGCTACAGTTGCCTAAGCTGCAATACCATATTCAAGGACTGGTCTTACTCGTCCAGTGCATAGTTTGTTGAGAACTTTCTTATCAGCTCCCCATGTTGTGCCAGCTTTGCCTTGCTCTTGTTCGACTCGCTTCTACCTGTGTCTTCCATGTCAGGGGGCAATCAAATGTGACACCTAGGTATTTTGGATTGTTCTCTTGAAGCAGTATTTTTCCATTTAACTGGCTGTTTTTTTATTTGAGAGGGAGAACACAGTGCATGTTGTTTTCTCTTCACTGATATTAAAAGAATTCATAAAGTTATTTTTTTTAATTATCACAATGTGCATTTACCTTACAAAAAGACAACAACAAAAGAGTTAACACCCATTGCAATTATCTCTACTCACTGATAACTTTCATATATAAATGTCAACTAAAAGTTACCTGAAAGATGCTTTCAAGCTTATAACTGTGTTTTTTTTTAAACATTTTGAGACCTACAGAAACAAAACCCTAAAATTTATATAATCATTGTATTTCAATATCAATAAAGGACATGTAATGATCAATTTAAAATTCAGCAAACAATATACGTATGTAAAACAAAGATTACACATAATACTCTTTGTATGTTAAAAAACTGTCAACTTATGAAGAATGCTTGTGTAGTAGTTTAAAAAGAAACAATTTTTAAAAAATTCTACATATAACATTTGTTACCTTGACTTCAACTAGGGCCCCTTTGACAAACTCTGAAGGTGCCACCCCAGGCAAGTAGAAGGCACCCACATGACAACTTAGAAGCAGGACCACACAAACTGTGAGAATATTCATCTGAAACATAATTAGCTAAAATAAGCAAATATGGGCATTTCAAGAAAACAAATAAGCCATACATAGTTACATACAAAGATAGCAAACAGGACAGTCTACCAATTTAGAACAATGTCTTATGATGCCATATCATACAAAGCACATGCCAAAAGAATAGAAGAATGCTGAACAGAGAATCAAAGAAACTCTAAAATAGTATTAACAGTCTACGGTCAAGATAAATCAGAACTAGAATCTGGTATCTTCCTAAACACTTGAAGCTCTAAAACAGGAAGTAAAGAAGAACAGACGCCAGATAAGTATGTGTGATGAGATGCTCCTGTATTTATACTGGTACATTAGTACAGTGTTCTTCAAACTATGTGTTGCGGCCTAGGGAAAAGTCCAGGTGGGCCAATAAAAATGTCTGCCTAATCATGTGACTAGCATGTATGTAGGTTTTCTCTTCTAGGATTGCAGTCTTTAGGACTAACACCTCAAGGATGAGAATCAAACAGGTACAGATCCCAGAAACCCTATTCAACCGAATAAAAGTAATATTAGGGCACCCAACAGTTAAGTAAAATGTATTCCAGCCTAGACGTGGAATAAGGACTATACAGCTGTGTGATGGAATTAGCCTAGACGTGGGATAAGGACTATACAGCTGTGTGATGGAATCAGCCTGGGCGTGGGATAAGGACTATACAGCTGTGTGATGGAATCAGCCTGGGCGTGGAATAAGGACTATACAGCTGTGTGATGGAATCAGCCTACGAGTGGGATAAGGACTATACAGCTGTGTGATGGAATCAGCCTAGGAGTGGGATAAGGACTATATAGCTGTGTGATGGAATGTAACCATGCATTCTAAAAAATATCTATGTGCTTGTAAGTTTTAGTAATTAGAATAACAGAGGTATCAGAAGGTATGTATGTCATATCAGTGATTGTGTAACTGTTTCCTGTTGATAAAAATAACATGATAGGAGTCAAGTCAGAGTTTTTGTTGGGTGTCAAGTAAAGAGTAGATAGTTGAAGATTGTGGATTTGCTTAGGTATGAACAAACTTTATTCTCAAAGGGTCAAGAATTGGGCACGCAGGCACATCTAAAAGTCTGGTAGATATTACTATACAGCTGCGCGGCAAGCTGTTAGCTGTTTTTGTCCCGGGGAAGAACTTTTCCCGATGTAAGCGGCAATACTATGTGATTTGATTCCCACTTTTTAAGAATGGTGGCAAAATTTAGTTCTGAGTCTATTTAAACAGACAGGTGCTGTTCATCTAACAACAATGAAATTACTATATTTGGAAACAGTAATTACAACTGATGATTACATTCATCATCATCATTATCACCCTGTGGCGTTTAATAAAGTTTTATGTGGAATATATGAACATCTATGTAGCCTGTCAACAGTGGTTATTGTTGACTCTTTGAGATGGCACAGTGATGTTTGTTGCTGTGGGGATGCATCTCCTGCAGCTTCCTCCATTTTATTTGCTCCTGAGTCCAGTCATTGTTTAGCTCCCCTCCATGCCACTTGTAGCTGCACAGGGGATACTCTCAGCGGTGGTGCTATAGTCGCCGGAAAGAGGTCTGCAATTTACATATGACTGAGGCCCTGTTAGCTTCAATAATTTGGGACCATTATTAGGAGGATAGATTGGTTTAGGTTATGATTAGAATCACAGTTAGACCTAACCCTAATTTCAAATAATATTAAATATTAAGGCTATCCTCCGAACAACAGGCACAAAAGACGGCGCCCGCAAAATATCCTTACGAGCCTCAGTCATGTGTCAATTGCACACTTGCGGTCACAAGCACATCGCAGGAAAACTAGGATTAGTGTCTGTCGACAATTCTGAGAAACGGAACAAACCGCCGAGTTAAACTCGCCATTGAGAGTCTCCCCCGCGCCCCTACGCGCGGCGCGGAGGGGGCTAAACTAGATGGCTGGGACCCAAAAGCAGCAGATACAGCATCTCCTGCAGTGTCCTCATTTTATTTGCTCGTGTGGGAGGCTCTCGTCGGAGTGTTGACCAGAAGTAAGTCGGCAAATTACGCGTGAGTGACGCCCCATTATGCTATATTTTTCGACGAAATAATTTGCGACTATCATCGTTTGCACAATGCTAGGCAGGCCACAACTTCGCACGCAGCTTAGTGATACTGTTCTTTCTGTTCAAGAACTGGCAGGTGTAATCTACAACTTCTGTGCCATAATTTCCAGATAGAAAGGCATAAAATTATTGGTAAGTAGTCGATTTGATATAACATTTTTTTCGTTCCTTAATAGTTTTGACTTCAATTTTTTAATGTTTACAACAGATGACACGTGACTGAGGCTCGTAAGGATATTTTGCAGCCGCCATCTTTTGTGCCCGTTCTTCGGAGATTAGCCAATATTAAAGAATATTATTATGTGAATGTTAATAATGAATGGATTACATCCCCCATCTAAAGTAGTAACTTGCACATTGCGTCCCTTGGCCTTAGGGTCATTATTAGTATTAGGGTTGCTGTCTTCAGTATTGCCAACTTTTTAAAAATTTCATTGCAGGTTTCACAACAGATAGTCTATATCCCTATGAACCGGGGGAGGGGGGGGGGGGTATGCATCAACCAATCTATGTGATATAGTAGCAAAAGGCAAGGTCACGTAAGTTCAATCTTGCAAGACCTGCGAATCCAGTTGACAAGGAACTGATCCCAGAAATGATTTCCGGCTGTTCGATGTTTTTTTTTTTTTTTTACGTAGTTATATTTACTAACTAAACACTTCGCTCGAACTAAACAGTGAAATAATTATATAATAAATGGCAATTTACAATGCAAAATACAGCCCTATAAGTAAAGTCTGTGCGCAATTCTAATAGTGAATACTATCGTCAACAACAGGATTTGATCGGATGAACCGAAATTCGTGATTGGTCAATGATTGATGATAAGGCTGATATTCACTCAATTTAACAATCAGTTATTGCTTTCTTAGAGTTTCATTTGCTTAGCATGTTAGAAATTTCTTCAATTAAGTCACTAAAATACTACACTGAACAAAAATATCAAGCTAAAAGTTATCAGCCCTGCTGATTTATAAATTTTACGTTTGACAGGAATGTTAAGTATCCCCTTCCACTCACCGTGGACGCCATTTTGTTACAAACGTGGAAAATGTGTGACGTCATCATGGTCTCCAACGGAAATCTCTTCGGTCTATCGATCAGTGATCGGGGGAGGGGGAGGAAGGAGGAAAGAGAGACACACACAGACCACAACTGTTCCTAATCAATAAAAATGAACTCACTAAATTATTAATTATTGACTATCAAGATAAAGTATACATAAGAACGTCTAGCTTGAGAATGGAGGTGGAGGCAGTCACTGCTGCCTTCCGCTGGCTTGAGATTTAGCTGTACACACATGTCATAATTGTAACTTCCCCGTGTGGGTTCCGGGGCCCCATTGTGGGAAAAACAAGAATAGACCCACTGCCTACCCAAAAGCATGTCGTAAGAGTCGACTAATTGGGGAGCTTCCTTTGAAGTCGGAGTACATCTGCCTGAGGGGCAAGGAACCAACAGTCTGTATTCAAGTGAATCAGATCTGTAAAACTGATGCACACGCAACACTCAAGTTCTGGAGTAGGACTGCAGTTCAGAAGTGGACGAACAGCCAGAACTTTCCGCCAGAGTTTACAGCTGGTGAACGCAAAGAAGAAGAAGAAGAAGATAATTGTAACTGACTCATAGAGAGTGTTGAGAAAGGAGGAGACATGTTTCGTGCAGAGTGGCAAGCATCGCTTCAGAGGTCCAGGGTAGTTAGCGTTCTTAAGATATTTTCTCCAGGTCAAGCTGGTGTGTTGGGAAACGACCAGGCAGATAGACTGGCCGTTTCTGCACCATTTGGTGGTAAACTGATGTATGACAAGCTTAATGTTGTAAGTGCCTTTAGTGAGCGAGTGAATAGTCGGAGGCACAAATAGATCAGTACGGTCTGACGAGAGTAGCGCTGCGAGGAGTTATCAGGTCCTCTGACCGACGCTTATCACTCAAGGGAAAGGCGAGACGGATGTATAATCGGAAGTTACTGGTGCCATCAAAATTGGAACTCTTCACCTGATGCTGAAGATTGGAACGGAGCCCTTATAGGAGTGTCCTGAGTGCTTTGATGTCGATTAATAATGCGACATTCAACAAGAAAAACATACACAGAAGATGGTCTCATAATTAAAATTCTTGGGCGTTCTCACAACTTTGATCTTGCAAGGCTTAGAAATCAAGACTGATCATGGCATATGGTCACTCCCATGATCGTCCACGACACTATTGTGTGTCCAGCACTGATAATCGATGGCCATGTCTGCATCATCAGGTCTCGTGGCCATTCTATTTGGCCTACTGTCGTTTATACAGTTTATTTCTGAATCTTCCATAGCCTATGCTAAAGCATTTCCTTGTCTATTTTCCCCAGTAAGGTCCTCAGCTCTGTTCCGCGTATTGAATTCCCTACAAATTAGAAGCCTGTTACTAGGGATTTCCTCAAACATTCTGAGCCAGTCCCAATGTTCTTTTATGACAAGAGAGTCAACTACAGCGTAAATATTTACTAAATTCCAGGTTGTGGTCCCATTATCCATTTGAATACCCTGAACCTCTCGTGTACCATGATTCCACTGGCCCATGTCATAAAACACATGTTTTACCCCATTCTTCACCACCAGATATCGCCCATGTCTTTCCTGTCCGGTAGGATTTATATAACTAATGATTCAGGACACTCATATCTAACTATATTTAATTCCTGAAGTCATAAATCAGATCAACGCCTTATCTAATAAATAGAGAAGGCCGTGATCAGATATCCCCGTGTGGTTTCCAGGGCCCCATTGTGGAGAAAACAAGAATAGATCCTCTGCAACCCTAACAAGCATGTCGTAAGAGTTGACTAATTGGGAGCTTCCGTCGAAGTGTATCTGCCTGAGAGACAAGGAACCAACAATCTGCCTACAATTCA